ATCGGTCGGTGAACGAAACTGCGGCAGCTACAACCACAGTACGACGAGTACGCGGTTATTACAGCTGACATTGATGATGACGAGAGAGTGAGAGGGTTGATGATGACGAGAGGGCGAGTGAGAGGGCGAAAAACCAGTTTTCATCTCCTATGAATTTTCGCCTGCACAATTCCACTCCATTGAATAAACATTGCATATGATTGAGATCGACAGATGTTGTTAAAGGCAGAGTAGTTGTATCAGGCTAGTGCGTACAGATCCCTAAACCACCGGACAATCAAACACCGGAATAATGACAGAGAAGGCAGATGGATTGAGAAGGCCCAGGAAATGGAGGCTTTTAATTTAGACAACAGCTGCGCCGTATTTCAGCTGATTCGACTAACCGGCTAAAATGAGTCAAATGTCAGCCAAACAATTTGTAGGGAAGATGAAACGGCGACTGAGTCGCAGAATCGTTGTCTTGAGCGATGGACTTACCACTTTACTGCAATCAAATTTCCCAGCTCAGCGAACAAGCCAACGACCACTTTACCGCACGTTTTAGCTGGCCTCTTTTAATCTCCGAAAGGATCCAACAAGACTGAATATTACATCGACACCAGTTCAAGATCAACAACAAAAATCCAGTGGGACACGTCATTCCTTCAACGCGACAGGGCACCCGGCCTGGTTGGTTTGAAATCTACAGTTTTCAGAGAATGTGCTAAAGCTCGGGGAAGGGGAAAGGGCGGTTTGCCGGCACCGTTACAGAAGATTACGAACGGAACTAGGAAGAAACGCGTTAACTCTCATTCCAATCTCCAGCAAGAGTGCAAGAAATTCATGCGTAAGCCACAGTGACATGACCCTGCGGTAGTAACATCAACGGTTCTCTCTGGCATTACTTTGAGTAGGTTGATAAGCTGTTTGGAGATACACAGCTGGCCGAAGATGGTCGATCGTATCCCTATTTTGAAACAAACTACCGAACAGTCACCTTTGAAACTATCGCTGATGGTCGTTTCTATCAATCTAAGGTCTGCTTTTGCCTTTGGTGATCTTCAGAAACTAAGGTGGTGTTTGGCCATTATTTATCCCCTTTCTAATATTTTACCGCTTACGATGACATTGTATGCCAGCTCCTGTTGACGCTTACACATATACAGCAATCTATCACCCGAGTTAACCACTTCGGTGGTGCAAGAAAAGCTGTCCCCTCTAACGATTTCTACGAGACTTTGCAACTGACGTACTGTGGCAAACTTACCTGCTTGCCTCCGAAGCCTCTAGCATCGAATTGCTCCCCTGACATTCGGTCGTAGACGTTGCGTACGCAAAGTCCTTCAGATATAAAACCGTTCTAAATAGCTTAAAGAAATATGGCGCGTGGTTTAATAAGCACTCTGTACCTGCTACAAGATTGCTTGCAGACCAGCCGATTGACATGGCAAATTAGTTTATCTGCTTGAGCCATGGTATAATTTTTCGCGGACTGGATGCAGACGGGATACTTTTTCCCACCGGGAAGGTTGGGGCTGATTTTGTCTCCCTCTGGCACTTATGGAGCCAGTGCGACATCCGTTGGTCTGTCAGCGGTTGAATATACAACACGACCATGCAACCTATATTGCTTTACAGATCACAACCTTGGTCTGTAAGCGCAAAGGAGGCAAGAAACCCCCCAGCATCCGACTATCAATGTGCCCGAAACATTTGCCGGCTATGATGGGAAAATTGGATTAGCAATGATGGTATAAACCAGATGGTTTTAGGAAGATAGAACTCTCTCTCTCTTTCTCTGGATAGATGATCTCCACACACCTCATTGATTAGACTGGTCGTGACATGTTGTTCGGATGCCGTCTGCCTCGCAGAGCTCCTCTTGCCCAATCCGGTGTTGAGTGAAAGCGACTGAGAGGTGAGCACTCTCTTGGCAGTGAAATGAGAAAATGCTAACAGTGGACCCATGGGACCCAACTCAGTGATGGAAAATAACAGATAGACATGGCTCAATCTCACAGTCAGTGGCTCACCTGAATCAAAGTCATTACCTGCAGTGAAGAGCTACACAGTTTTCTTCAAACAACTACACTAATTCAATACCAGCCAGCTGACTATGCCGTCATCTCCAATATCTGGCCATATGTCTCCTGCTCTCCAGCTGACAGAAACTGTAACAGGTGCAATACACCTACCCTTGGCATATTGCTGATAAACTGAACCTTTTGTCTCCTATCGAGACGTCTCATAAATCCTATTGACGCACGACTCTAGGTTTCGAGTCACCTCAACTTGAAAAAGGATTGGATTTCTTCCGCTATGCAGATCCACGCCAGCGTTTTACAACAAGTTATTGGAACAAAAATCTGTGGGAGTAATTTGCTTGTTACTAAAACTTTCCTAATGATATTGATCAGCCGAGATGCTGTTCTGTTGAAAAAAGGAGCGGATACAGAGAATTTTGCAACTGAGATTCTCATGGATGATGATCGTGATCTGGCATGACATTTCGGTATACGGGGAAGCTGAGTTTCATGCAAATAACGACTACAGTATCATTTGGTTGCGAAGCTATGTTGATGCTGCAGTAAAGTGATCACTCTGAGTACACTGAACGTGGAATGACATCTTGGTGCAGTTCGGCAATCTAGAAGGCAAGACTATTCAGCAACATCGGCATCAAGCAAAAGAAAAATTAATACGCAACACCACTGTGCTTTCCATGCATATTTGTCAGGTGTCGCCTTGTGAGTTACAGCCGTTGCAACCTTGTCATATGTGAATGATCGCATACATCATTCAGCACAGATGAAAACTTCGATGATATAAATCAGTCCTGAACATGACTCGGAAAATTAGGCGGTCACGAACATATTTGCAGTTTTTATAAAATCAGCCACTTTTGGCATCGTATGTTTGAGGATTCACCATGGCTGTCGGAAAGTATTCATTATAAAAAACAACGCGTTGTCTTATTTACGTGCCTTGGCACGTCGAAGCTTATAATGGAAAATGCAGTTCCAGTTCGAGGTGTTTGGTGACCTTGAAAATGCCTCCCCCAAAAAAAACATTGAAATGCGTAGTCTGAACGGAGGATGGTAAGTTCGAATTGAATCAGGCGGTCAAACAGGTCTGCCCTGTCACGGGTAAGCAAGTGACTGTATCACATGACCGGTCATCCCACAAACAGTTCTGTGATGCACTGAAGGATGGGCTCTGACTCTAGACACATCCAGGCGGCTGCTACACTGACCTAGGGCTTATAGAAGCCTGGACGCTAAAAATATGGGGAACTTGTTTTCAGTTTACCCTTAGTGATCTACCCACTGACGAACCAAAGGAAACTTCGAATGCTATGCGCACCACCTGCTTAAGAGAAACCGGTGATAAGTTAGGGGAATACCCTAAAAGGGATTGACGTGGACCAATCCCGTGATAATTCCAAAAACATGAGTCTTTTCACACGCTCTTCTCGTTCGTTGTCTGTGCCTTCATTCGAAAGGCCCATCACCCCGTCCTATTTACTGTGAACATTTGCTTTTGTTCTTGCTTTTCACCAAACTGGCTTCCATTACCTCCTCCATGGGTTACATATAATCCCCGCATTTGACTGGGAAATCCCGTAAAAGCATTCACGGTGGAAACCCTTACTGTTACTCCCTAGTCGAACCATCTAGGTGATATTCCTTTGTTCGATTGTTGAAATCGGACTGCAGCAATGTTCCAAATGACTCTATGACAGTGATAACTACCAAAAACCTAACACACCGATTGGTCATTTCAGGACACGACGTTTGAATGCTCTCATAGTGTGTGCGTGTTGCTGAAGACCGTGTCACTTAAGAGCTCAACCCTACCTGTATATTTGGAAAAAAACTAGGCTAAGTTTTATTTCTGGGTTGCTTCAGCCCTCCACTGTTCAGCGTAACGGAGGCGTCTCAGTCGTGAGACTGATGGCAGCTAACGAAGCCTTGTCGGTTCGATACTGATCAGTTGCGGACAAACACCTTATTATGTTGAAAGGACAATAGTTTTCAGAGGCAAAGGGAAAATTTATGGATGGTGTACATCATGATCGGTCAATTGTATACGGTGGTTTAATACAAGATGGTTGAATGTGGTCATCCAAATGTGGCGCTGTTCGATGGCCCACAATGCGTTTGAATTTGATGGTTTCTGGATGACACGGCGAACTGTGTGGGCGGGAATTTGAAGACCCCTTCTGTTCACGAATACTTTGAGATAGTTGTGTCATCTGTTTGCGTAACTGAGCCAAACTCTGTGTACCGGAGACAAAATTGACGAGAAAGATAAGTGAAGTAGTAGGTTAGTTAGTAGGTATTCGGTCAGTCATAACTCAAAACTTTGGGAATTTTCGAGGCCACAAGGATTCACTGTCATATGTGACAAGGAAGAACGAACGAAGCGGTCAAATCTGATACATCAATTGAAAGTTGGTGACGGTCATTCACCCAAATATGATTTTTCATGATTTCAGATAAGTGAACGCTAATCTCTTCCCACATTATTTGCTACAAACACAGAACGAAATGTGTACTGCTGCCCAGTGCATGATATAAGCGTATGCCCGTGACAAGCGTTCGTTGGCAAAAAGGGGTAGAGACGCCATCTCAAAAGAAAACTGAGCACTAGTGAGAAAAACTCACAAATGCCGCTTTAGGCTAGTTTACCCTTTCTAAGTACCAAGCCATGATGTAATGAGCAACTTTAACATAAGTTGCATACGCTACAACAGAACGCTATCAGAACGGTAACTGCGAATCAGCCACACTGCTGTTCAGGCACTCGTGGCTGAACGGTCAAGTCTTCAAACTAATATCCGGGAGGTCACAGGTCCGAAGCTCTATAAGGTTTCGTGAAATGTCGAGAGATATTTCAGTATATTTCAATACAGATAAAATAGATGTACAGTGTCTGTCGGTATCGATTGACTCCACTTACAAGACGAAATCTTAGTTGAATATCAATGATCAAAGGCGGGCTAAAATGGATTGATAAGTCTTGTCCTTGAGATGGGCAACTAAATAGGTAAAATCAAACGTTCATATATCACTAGCATGCAGGTCATTAACCGTCTTTCTTCTTTACGATAGAACTTTTGTACATATACGCGTGAGACAGTGAAGATGGTTAACACCGAGCTTCCCCGTAAAATAGCGACTTCGTATCGCCTCAGATGAGATTTCCTTTTGTGGTGTTCAGAAATCATTCTAAGGCAACAAGGAGACAATATCGACTAGGTTTAACCTAAGGTTTAACCTAAGAACCAAAGCGGACATACCTAGAAGCCTTGCATCGGTTCAGGCTAGATCCTGCATTGCGTAACATATGTCATAGATACATAATTTATGGAAAGATCAATGAAGTAGACTCGCCTTGAAATCCACCCATAAATCACTTGGAGACGTTTAACTCCGATTTCCGCCTACCCACAAAGATTAAGGGAATGAAAGTGGCAGAGAGCAATCATTTTATCTGTGGCATGGCACCAACCCACGGCTGCCTTGATAAAAACTAACGGGACACAATAAAGGCGCTAATCCATTTTGGTATGTTGGCTCAAGGGACAATATTATATTTTTTTAACTTGGACTATAACCAGAAGCACATCACGATGAGGAAATTCAGAGTCGATGATATCAAAAATGATCATCTGGCAAAGCGGATGCGTTTTGAAATCTAGATCAGACAGTTAGGGCACTTTTGTTTACCGGAAGCCCAGTTGGCAGTTTTCCGATTTGCTACACAAGGGTGGGAATAGTAAATACGTAATGGTGTTGCCGAAACACATCACACACACACTTTTCATTCCTTCCGTTTTCACACCTCACACCCAACTCTGTGAGGTGGACATCCTCATCTGCCTACCTCACCTTATGGCATCATTTCCACAGTATCGATTTTCAACACCTATCCAATCCGGGGTTCCATTATTTCATTTCTCCTATCAATTTATCTTCTAGACAAATACACTCACGTGCAAATCCATTTGGTTTTCACAAGAGACGCAACTGACTCTCTCGTTTATGGGATTCTACAAGTGAATCTGCTGCACACAGCCCAATTTGGGTTCAAGTAGAACATGAGGTTGACGGAAACTTAGGGACTGCGCCTACCTCTTATGATCTACTTGCAAAAGAGTGTATTTCTCGAAAACAGTGCAATTTGGGTTCAAGTAGATCATAAGGTTGACGGAAACTCGGGGACTGTGCCTACTTGATGAGCCCCAAGAAGGGCTAAACCGGTCGTGGGCTGTCCAAGAGTTTTCAGCAACCTTGTGCGTAATTTCCTTTATGAAAGCTTATCTCCTACTTTCTTCTTGTCTCTTTTTCTATGACGTACTAATTTGGATGACGGTACGCAGTCTAAACAGATGTCTCGAAAGTACCGGAACCACAGGTAATCATCTCAAACCAGCGTTTTTTCTCGGTATTTATTGCAAATTTTTGTAATCTGATAAACAGTGCCTTGTGCGAGAGCTCGTTTACATGTTGACATGAGCTAGCATTTGTCAAACCGAATTCAGTACTTGATGTTATATCTGCCCTAAGACTCTGAATTGGCGAGTATAAAGTTAATATTTCTGACAATTATGAAACCAAAAATTGTCTCAAAGCCCTCAAATAGTTAGCACGGGAACCCTAGGATTCAATGAGTTGGGATGAAAATCCGACCATCAAATCACATAAGCCTTCAAACAAGCCTGATATTGTATCCCATTCTTGGGGTTAAAATCCAATCAAGAAAATCTGAGAAACATGCGTTTGGTTCCAGTATAATGCTAGAAAAAAGATGCATGCGTTTGGTTCCAGTATAATGCTAGAAGAAGTTGACATACTTGGCGGCGAGTTAAGAGTCGCTCCAAATCGATAGCCATGGCATTGCGTTCCTGATTCAGAAGTTCACATTCCTCGGTTTTCAAACGTACTCGCTTCCGTTCCTCAACCAACTGCGATCGGATCGCCGTCAACTCCTGTTCCCGCTCTGCCAACACAGATGCAAGACAATCAGCCGGTTGTTCCACCAAAGTAATCATGTTTCCGAGTCGGTCAGCTTCCTTCCGAGTCAACTAAAACATAGAGAGCAGGATATTTGACGGTACTCAGTGTTCCACCAAAGTAATCATGTTTCCGAGTCGGTCAGCTTCCTTCCGAGTCAACTGAAACATAGAGAGCAGGATATTTGAACGGTACTCAGGCAGATAAACAAGAATATGGATGACAAAAAGAGGTATTCGGACGATTTTATGTAGCCTTTGCGTGAACATAGCAATACTCACAGGGATACTACAAAATATCTAGTCAAAATAGACAGTATTCCTTCTGTTTTTGCTGGATTAACTGCAATGTGATAATCATGGTTATCGGCTTTCTGAATGAGCCATTTAAAATGCAGTCATTCCCTCTTAAACAGACCACTATAAGGAAGCGACCAAGATTGGTCTTATACAAGATGTTAGGTCATTCGGAACCAAACAAATTTTACCTCTGCTCCTACAGGAAACGACCCTCCAGGTTTGTTTCGGATAACATCCGCTGCGATCACTTCCCTGCGTGACACTCGCTGTTGTCTGCAGGTTTCAAACTGCGGTGTACTACAAGTGAATCGTACCATAATGTTATTGTCAACCTTGGTGTCAATACGGCTCAGATATTCACTGAAGCGGCCACACAGTCCCGTATACTACAAGTACACACTTATGAAAGTATGTCCAATAAGTTACACTACTTCCTCTCTATGAAGCGTCAGTTTGACCGACATTAGAACAGGTAAGCTCAAAACAGATGGTTTGGAAGATTGTAAAGACTTTTGAATTGGTCAACCCATCGATGCCAATGGACTTTCTTGTTGTCACTTTCTATAAGTGTCTAGAGGTGAAGGGACCTGGGAATGATTGTAGCGCTAAGTCCCTTTCCCGTCCATAATAAGGATTTCAATCAAATCATGGCTGTACAGCAACGGAGCATCAATACTGAACACTAATCTCGAGCTGTCGATGATGACCATGATGATGATACCATGCATCCGCGGTGCATCCGATTAACCATAATGTAACGACCTACTCAAGAAAGCCACCGCGGGCGCTGTTGATGGAAAACCCTGTGAAGGGCTTTCCAAGAACTTTTCTTTCGGAGTGACTATCCCGATTTCCTCAGGCTCCCGCTGGATAAACCAAATCTGGCACTTCCGAAAGGCTGACTTCTAATTCCCTACATATTCGAAACGCTGGGAAGCGTTCATAAATTACTGGTCTGTTCGCAGAAGTTGGCAGTTGATAAGTAAGGAGACCAACATTACTTGGAAATCGCCAAAACGTAAGAATGACAATCCTTGAATAAAACAAACAATAACTGACTGGGAAACAATTTACTGACCGTCGGTGTAGGGTGCGCGACATTAGCGTTCTAGAGTACACGAACCGAACGCGTCTGATTCGGTTCGTCACGCTCACCGTTTTGTGTACAGTAAACGAATTGTTTCGATTGAAATTGTTCCATATTGTAGAGTGGATACTGTTTTTTCGCCTACGGCTGATAATATCTGTTATATCTGCTGATTCGTCAATCTGTGGTATCTGCTGCTGACCCGCTCCAGTGCCTAGTGTCGGAGAGAAAAGACTCACAGAAGGGAACACAACAGCTGTATTCCGAACAAGCGAGTGAGTGAGAGAGCAAAAGTTACAACGGCCCCACGCTATTTAAAGGGGACTTTCTGACATTGATCCAGGCTGTCTGATAGGCGTTAGTGATCACCCATCAACATCGATCGTGCCTCTGTGAAAAGCCTGAACGCTGATGACATTCGGCCGTGCTTCTGTGGCCGCAAGAACACTCATCAGGTTTTGCTGAATTGATTGAATGATTGACTGGCCTGGATGCTTGCCGGCTTTCCAGTTGAGTTTTTGGTGGAGCAGTAGGTTCCGGGCGTTCTGAAGTTGCTTTCAGGAATCTGACCTTCCTGATAATATCCAGTAGTACTGACGTATTATTTATGATAGCTTGTGCATCCACTGAGGAACTTGTACACTTCGTCATTCATTAGCTACTAAACTAGGTACAGGAAAATTGGCTCAATGACTTCGGTTTTGTGCTTATTCCCAAATTAAACTCCAATTCGCACAGCTGTGAAATTCTTAATTTAGCCAATAGAATTATCTGAAAAAGATGAATGAAGAGATTCTCGAAGACTGTGATTCACGGATGGATTTGACTTGGGTTGTACGGCTGAGGATTTATCTGAGTCGATCTGAGTCGAAAATATCCTATCCGGTTAAAAGTGCATTCGGTCCACGGAACGCGAAGCAACTTTGATGGTCGGTTGTTTAGAAAAGACGGTTTGGTGAATTTTACTTCAAATCATCATTGATTCTTGCTTATTGCAAACAACTGGTATGTTATCTGGTATGGATATGTTCATCTCTGCAAAATGTGTCAGTCTTTTAGAGGTATGAAGTCAAACGACTGATAAAGATGTTCACCAAGAGTGTCATAGACGAAGCTAAATCTTCAGGGTTTTAACGTTGCGAAAAGCCGGTAGTTTCTAACTGGGGTATGGTATTTCACCGTAGCGGTCTTGCGGTCCCAGTGGGGAAGAGGCTCAGTGTTCTGTAGTGTTGTGTCCACCTTATCCTGATTCTACAGCCCGTGTCCTGGGGCGAGATGGTTCAGTGATTGGAGCCCGAATATACTGACCGGAATGTTCGTGATTCGAACCCGAACTCTGCATCTCGACACCTACTGTCTAATTCGAACCCGACCTCTGCATCTCGACACCTACTGTCTCGTCTTGGACAACCTGGAAGAATCCCCGCCCTCGTGCTCCTTTTCGGGTAGCATGGCAGCTAGGCATCGAAAGGGTGTTACCGCTGAACGACTGTTTTAAATAGTTATTTAAAGCCCTGACATTAGTTAGACTCACCATGTGATTGTTCAAGTGTACTTTTTGATTGGAAAAAAGATTGGAAAATGGTTAACTGTGATTTATTAGTTTGAAACACAAAGCTAGAGAAATTAGGAACGAGTGTTGTACACAATGTAGGAAATTCAAAGACGACCTTTAAATCTATGCATCAAAAAGCAACCGGTCCCCATCTCCGCTTACCTCAAGTTCATTGATCTTCGCTTTGTTCTCCTCAGACAACCGCTGACATTGAAGTTGCAATTCTGTTATCTTTTTGGCCAATCTAAGTGAGTGTTCCAGACGTCGGCAGGCCATAGTGGGTAGGATGAAAATATCTGCATTTGAATTACTGGTTTGTGCGGTTGTTTTGGCCAATAAACAGTACTGCTCAATATGGGTTAACAACGTCTGGTGTCCGGCGTGACTGGCATGGACAGAATTTTCCCTATCCGTGACACATAACTCTACTGCTTCGTCCAACTTTGTCTCAAGAGTCTCGTACAACCGTAGTTTTTCTTCCACCGCGAGCAAGTTCCCCTGATGTGTCAATCGCTCCTGGGTTGTTTTTGCCTCCAACTGTTGAAGGAATACCAGCACAGAATTGAGTAGATCTATGTACAAATGTGATGTAAATAACGATTGTACAGTGAGGCTGTCACGTGATTGGCGCAACTGAATACCTGTGCAATTCAATTAAGACGCACTGGTTCTCCTCGTCGAAATCCAAGGGTTAGTTCAAACTCAAGAGTTGGTTGAAACAATGTGTCCTTCCGATTCATAGAGTGGTTTTCACCCGACCCTTATGCAACTTCTGGCCGATTCCACTTGCCTATTTCCATCAAGCACACTGGTGCAACTTTTACGCGAAAATTTGAAAAGTAAATCAAGTGTTGATATGTCATCAGCTACGCCTTTAGGGGTTTTCTGTCATATGGCTGGCGCTGGCGTTGAATTTGCCTGCCAACCCAATGTAAACAAAGCAGAGTCTCTGGCTCAAAGCTTTGGTAACGCCTACAACTTGTTCATTCGGCAGCCTACGTAGAAAGTTCGTTTGCAGCCAGTTAAAAAACAAGCTTCTGTAATACACAAAAGTGCAAACCTACGCATGTGATAGTTTTCTCTTTTAAATTTTCATTATTACTCTGCTTTTGGAAAGGCTGAAAGCTTACTTCATAGTACGCTTTTTTACTGGCATCCAGCTGTGCAGACAACTTTTCCACCTGTAGCAGGGCATCTTGACGTGCAAGCCTGATTGTTTCCAATTCCATCAAGGCACATGTCATACGTGTACCCAAGGTATGTGTAGAATCTATCGGTTCATGCGGCTGCTCTAGTGTCGGCAACATTTTGGCCATTCGCGTGTTAAGTAAGTCGACTTGTTGCTTGTATTGTGCTGCCTCTCGTTCTGCTTCTCGCAAAGACATTTTCACTTTGTCCAGTTCTGCGAGAGCCGCATCCCGTTGTTCACGCATTGACTGTAATTCTTTGGTATGAACGTCCTGGAAGGTAATGATTATGGATGCACTTTAAATGCACAGCCCGGTAGGTGATGCTTACCATTATGAACTGTTGTGTAATTAACGAAAGGTTGTGTGTTTCCGACACGTTCGTTCTTAAAAAACGCTACTAAGAAAGCATTTCAATCTGGTGGTGGAATTGCTTAACATCTCAGTTGATCCCGTCTTAAGCAGTATTGGATCATAACCAACTTGGGAAAGTAGAATAGCTTCTTTAAAAAAGTTAGCACCTGGGCAAGCACCTGTTATTGAACACCTCAAAGATATGCGGCCTCAAGTTCGGTTTTATCGTGATTAGATTGAGCAAACAACTCTCACATGATATTTCGTCCTGTGGCCAGCCATGCTGAAAACTCTTGAGGCGCTGTACAGCTGTTTCATCCTTTTTGAGAGTCATCACCAGCGCGCATCTTCCGAGGTTCAAGGGAGTTCCTCCTGGCTAGTAGTTTGAACGCTTGACTGTTCGGTACCGAGCGGCTTACCAGAACCATGGTTAACTAGTACAAAGACTGGATATGACACAATTCGCCCTTCAGTCAAAGAAATCACGTCACCTGTTGACTGCCTAATTGAGTGACGGCTTCTCAGTTGGATATTTCACTCTCCTTGTGAAAATATTCTCCCCCTGGTCTACTCACAGATTGATGTGCGAGGAGCAGTTTAGTCGTCATTAGGAATCATCAGCAGTGCGCATGTGACGAAACTCAAAAGTATTTTTCGTGAGGTGAGTCTCATTAAGGATGAAGCACCAGCACTTGGTTTTCCGTCACATGCCGACTCCACCAGCTGGATGGGAAAACTCAGTTTTGTTCCACTCGCTTTTTCAGCATAATCGGCTCCAATCACACAGTGAAATCGAAATTGAAAACGACCAATCCCCTAGCAGTGCCATCAATTAGGCAAATTAGGCAATTAGGCCCAAATGAGTACCAATCCACATCCTGAAATCGTTCTATCCCCCAGCTCTTTTTCTGCACTTATACAGTCTTTTTAATATCACTTCATTTTACGTCTAAACACCAGTTTTCATCTCAGGTCAAATAGAACTTCTCAACTACCTTCTAATTATTGATTTCACACACAGGTTTTAGCATCGAGTTCGAAGCTACTGAGTTACTTCCATTTTGATGTGCTCCATCGGTCTATCAGCATCAAGAAGTTGACGCAGCTGGTCGAGAAAACTTGTTCACCATTTGTTTCGACTCAAGTGCCGTTGACTTTTGTTGACATGATAGGCATGCTGATCCAAGCAGCGAGTAGCGAACTTATGTGATTTATTTTGTGATGCCACACATGACCATTGGAAATGTCGTTGACAGAAAGCACCGGATATGGCGAGATGTAATTATGAGTAGTCGCCCAGCTGTAGCACCCTTTTAGTGTCTAACTGCCATGCCACGAGCGCTTGAATACTGCCAGGTTGCCAAAGCCTAGACAGGGGAAGTCGAGATGCAGAAGTCGGGTTCGAACCACGGACCTTCTGGTCAGCAAACTCGCGCTCAGAGAAATGGTCAAATATAGCTTCTGGTGAGGGACAGTTCGAAATATACTTCAACGGATCAACCAAAATGCGTAATTCATCCCGGAAGGCAGCTATACAGGAATAATAATAATAATAGTATTCTAACAGAGAAATGTGTGAAAATGGCGTCGGCAAATGAAGTTTACTCCGAATCAGAAGAAGCGGTGGTCGCCGTACTTGTCAGGCTGTCTATAGGTTGGACACATCGCTTGCAAGAAAACCGATTGAGAACAGGGGGCAAAGCAATTCCAGAAAGTAAATGTGGGCCATACAAGCTTCACAAATCTCCCAGGATACCTGTGACCGTTTTAGATCATTCTTCGACAAAGTGTGCTACAAAAAGAAAGTTTCATGTTCCAGCTGTTCAACTGACAGTGCACAGATCCAGAAGAACGAAATGAGGTCGAAATCAGTCGTGAGCTAACGATGGGTTTTGTTATATCTGACTCCTGTCGCCGCCCCAGTGTCTAGAGCCGGAAAATCATGCCTATAAGGAACACAACAACTATATTGTGAAGAAGCGAGTGCAAAAGCGTGAGTGCGAAAATACAACGGCTTCAAGCATTTTTTTGGGAGGATACTGTTCCTTGGTCCTATTGTGAAGAAGCGAGTGCAAAAGCGTGAGTGCGAAAATACAACGGCTTCAAGCTATTTTTTGGGAGGATACTGTGTCCTTGGTCCAACGCTGTCTCGCGCTGTCTGCCTTTGATATAAAGGCTGACGCGCGCTCCATATTGAGGCGGCTTGGCCGTCTGATCGGCATCTTGTGAAATTAGGGTCTCAGTAGATGTCGGACATTCAGAGGCTACTTTCAGGAATCTGACCTTCCTGATATGTTTCCATCAAACTTAAGAATACTGTACGATACCTTGGAAATCGTTCCAAGTAGAACACGAAGCCTCGTTTTTGCAGCACCGTCAGTCGAATAATTGCATAAACGTGACATTCAATTAAAAATCACTTGGGTATTCCGTTAAAACCAAATTAGTTTGTAAATGCATGTACTGCGAGTCCAACACAGGGTTGACTTGGCCTAGCCCGAGAACTCTACAAGAGGCGAAACCGGCCGTGGGCCGTCGAAGAACTTTGATCAGCCTTATGAGTAGCATGTTCTGTCTAGACGATTCCAAATCAACATCGAATAATGGTTGTATCATTTAATCAGATAGGAATCTAAAAATGAGTATCCATCCATTCTGTTTGCTTTACGCGACAATATTTTGCCCGCATAAACTTGCCTATTTCGCTTGTTTGGATAAGAGCACAATTCCATTTTGTAGATTAGTAAATAAAATCTCTGTAGCGAGACAGTATTTTCATCTAATTTGGCCTACAAAACCATGCACGAGCCTTACCGAAAGCATTCTGCACTCTCTCGTGGACATATCCTTCAGCATTTTAGCCTGTTCCATCAATTGCTGTTCCAAAAACTCTGCATTCCATGTTCGATTTCGAGCGGATTCCACTTCAGTCTTCCGCACAGCCAAGTCGTTTGCTTTGCTCTCAGCCAACCGCTGCTCGGCTTTTGTAAGCTGTTCCGTTAGACTAGTTATCTGTTTTTTTAAAGAAAGAACAAGATCCATTTCGGAAGGTTTGGTGAGCGAGAGGGAAGTGAAAAAGGTGTACTTGTTACAACATACAGAATTCACGCGTCTGCCTGAGGGTGGTGAATAGTTTGAACTTTATCTGGCCTTTTGATCGACTATGTGACAGCTCAACTGATTGCGCTCTTGTTCCGCTAACCTGATCAAGTGCCCGCTTCAAATTTTGCCAGCGATACGGTCTGCGAACTGCAATTCTATGGATTTCGCTCAAGCATACCAACTGCTATTTGTTGTTTTAGGCGTGTGGAACCACCTTGGTATTCTGTTCTACCCATTGTAGTTTGTTCTACTCTGCTGAAAAAAGGGCACCCTTCTTCAGGAAGGCGCAGAACGTATTTCCACTGCAATGCCCTTCAAGGAAACTAGCCCCCTGGAAATTAGTCCATGTAGCTTTCAGTTCATGAAATGGTCAATCCAAAAGAAACACAACAAAGCAGATATCCCTTGCATTTGATTTCGATTCACTTGCATAGCTAAGCTGCTGATATCATCAGAACCGCTGATCCCTATTCTGTGACATTTTAGAAGTGGAATCATATTGGCTAGATTTGTATTTCAGCATAGGATCCGAGTGAGAACGTTAAGATGAAACCCTAGAATGTGTAAAAAAAAGAACAAATTTTGTTCCTCGTTGAAAGCAGGCCAAGTAGCACAAAAGTCAACGGTTCGCTGCAGATGATGAAATTTTATGGCCAGATCAGTGGAATCTAAGCAAGAAGTTTGAATGCCTGAGGTATCCACTTTTGGCAAAGTATAAATTTTGATCAGAGCTCAGAGAACCAAGTGTAAAGAGCATCCAAGACGTTCAGCTTAGTCATAGTTCCCGAAAGGAATAAGCATAAGGAATCATGTTCTATTTAAAGGTACTTCATCACGAAAATGTAAAAAAGTAATGAATTGCAAACACCCCAAAACATAGAACGTAATAATTTCATAGAGAGATGTGTTCTTATGAAACAGCAAATGACTAGGAACCCGACAAGTGTTGATTTCACGCGAGTTACCTTACCCTACATCTTGGCGTTGTTGCATCTAATCCATGTTACATTTGAGTTCCGAAATGCTGTCTTGTGGGACCATCAATCAGCTTAAAAATCAAGCCGTCGTCAGGATGGCATGTTACCATCATAAGGTGGTGGCTATCCACAAGATATACTGTCTTCCTGTGAATCGGCATCAAATGTAGACGCCTCGGTTGTTGGTTAGTTGGTTACATTGCAAATAGGTAGTTTGGTCAAACATTAGGTGTTTTTATGAACAGCTTACCTACATATTAAACTAGCTTTTGACAAGGGTGAAGTTCTTTATAAATTCATGCTAACAAAGCACAACTTTGAGCCTCACCTGATTCATCAAGTGTGTTTTATCCGCTTGAAGAAAGTGTATCCGACGTTCGGCAAGTTCAAGTTCGAAATCCTGATCGGCTACAGGCGCATCGTCCGTAACCAGTCTGCGGTTATTCCTGCAATCAGTCTTATCTCCATACAGGTTGCTATTATGGTAGCTAAACAAATGCTCTTGAACAGCCTTATTGCTTTGTCCCACGTCTGAGTTTTCTGCGAGACGCACTAATCGGTGTTCGGCAAACTTGTTTGGTCCCAGTGATACAGCTGACTGAATTTGGACCTTGTCTCTCTTAAATAAAATGAAGAGTACATTTAATTAGTTGGGGGCATTGAGTGGACGAAGGTAATTAAACCCATCCCAAAGGATAGAGGCACTCATTGTTTTCTGCGACCGATCGTAGTGACTTCAATAAGTTAGGCACATGCTGACTACTGTTGCTCACGAACCAATAAGACCAATGAAATCAATTTTTTGAATGTATAGTTCACATACATACCAAATAATCAGTAAGCTCTGTGCAACAGGATTAAGCTATGGTAATTACATTGCCGGGCCTGTCTTGATGGGAGATGAAACATGTCCATTGCTTCTCAAGATCCCACAGATATTTCTCCAAATATACAAAAAGTTGACAAATCACCATCGCAAAAGTTAATATCCATTCTATTGTGGAAAACGAACTTTTACATCTTCAAAACAAGAGTGGTGTTGGCGAAATCCATGCAGCCCATTTTTTTCACAGTCCACAATCTGATGTACTGGTGCACTGGAACCTTCCGGTTCCAAGAAGTGATGCGCATCCAGCCTCGTTACATCATCATCAGCATCATCATCAGCATCATCATCAGCATCATCATCAGCATCATCATCAGCATCATCATCAGCATCATCATCAGCATCATCATCAGCATCATCATCAGCATCATCATCAGCATCATCATCAGCATCATCATCAGCATCATCATCAGCATCATCATCAGCATCATCATCAGCATCATCATCAGCATCATCATCAGCATCATCATCAGCATCATCATCATCATCATCATCATCATCATCATCATCATCATCATCATGCGGGATACTAGAAAACAGACCTGGCTGATAGGAAGGGATGTTGCCAGTATAATGTTTCGGATCGTCGTCGGGTCTAACTCATTTATTTTCAGAGAACGTCATCGCAAGATAAAATTGACTACTAGCACTTAGCGCCACATTTCTCGATCAACGTTATCACACCAGTATGAGGCAAGGCTAAAGTAACCAATCACTTTGAGCCCATCCCAAAGCGTCAAACCCATCAAGCAGGCGCGAAACGCCTATCCTTGCCTATCCTGACCACTGTCAGTGAAACTCCGGATTGGTCTACCTCGTGATGAACCATAAGTCACAGATCGATGAACGCTTGTGACTAAAGTACCTATCTTCAAAGCTCCGTCCAGTAAGATGAAGTGAGGAGAGAACAAAGTAAAATGAGCGATTTGAAGAGCCCAGCGTTAGAGGGTTGCGTGTGTGACTTACCGGTTGCTCACTGACTGATGTCAAATGCCTCTGTGATGTTGCGCCTTCGAATAATATCGTTTCAGCTGCCGCGGTAATCTGCCTCCGTAGACTAAGTATCTCCTGTGAATAGAGGTGGAAAAGAAAACACAACACCACCAAAATAATATTAAGGCAGTTATAATGGAAATACCAATGATAGTTGGAATAAAAACAAAACGAATATTCTCACCGTAGTGAAAGAGATAAAACCGCAAGAATGAAGTGGTTTAGCTTTCGGAGGATCGTCATTTTCACTGCAAGAAACCTCTTCGGTCGCCAACGATCCCTAAAAAGGTGTGACCCATTGTATTATCATATGGCCGAGCGGTTATATGAAGCCTTTTTTGTTGTTGCCCAGTCAACATCGTACTTCGGCAGATAGGATTAAAAGATTCGACGAACTGGACCACCTCCTCTTGAAGAAGAATGATCAGAATGGACTTGGGCTAATGTGCTGCCTACTATACAGCCGAGACTTCATGCGGCTCCAAGTGGGCGGTGTGCTTATGAAGCACGTCAATCGTTTATAATCCATATCTCTCACCGATGACTTCAAGTATATGAAAGTGGTTATGGTCAGGCATTTGGACTCTGGAGCTCGTTTAGACCAACTGGGGACAATCGAGGACCTCATGCTTTTAATGATGCCCAAGTGTAGCAAGTGAAACCAACTGGGTGAGGTAAACATTTGGTGGGTGAGCATTCATATCGATTATCTTGTTCGACGGCCCACCGAGTGCACCCTGCATAAGCAATAAGCACTGAGGAACCCAGGTGTGCAAAGGAGAAGTCGAGTGAAAGGAACAAACAAAACCACGCTAAATGAGCTAGAGGGCCGTGACCGCGCGTAACATGTAAAAGTCTGAAGTCAGCGCGTGCGGCCAGAGGAGCCAAGTAAAAAAGATAGTACCAGTGGCAAAATTTTCTTAATGCACGTGCGATTTGTGCGACAGTGGAGGAGCTTTTTATCATGGCTTCACAGCCACTCATGAAAATGTAATAGGTGGGGCATCTGAAGTGAGAAAAACTGATGGATTGGCCTACCCAATAGCTAGGGGGGTGAACACATGCGAAGTGGCTGGTCGATCTGCACTAGCTCATGTCTTTAGTTGACCTTTGTCAGTGAACTGACGAAGAACACATGCCAGCGATGTTAGCCACACCAACCCGTCGGGTGCTAGCTAGCACAGATCCAAAGCACCGGCTACTTCAGTATGTTCAACATGCTGGGTATGCAAGTACCAGATGATGATCACCATTTGATCTCAGGCCAACGAATGCAAACAACCCGAAGGAATCTGTTACTCAAACGCAGAGCTCCTAGGGACAAAACTCATTCACAGTCGTCACCGGTTCGGCCAACTTACTTTTATTGACGTACCCATCAGAGAGATTTGCTGCGTCCGCGGACTCACCTGTTTTTTAACTGTTGATGAAGGGAACGCAACACTGGTTGTCCATGGTTCTAAAAAACGAGGCTCTGTCTAAGCTTTTCAAACTGGCACCGTGAACACCTTAGCTGCAACCTAGAAGAACAATTCAAGTGGAACCACTTGGAATCAACTTAGTGAAAAACGACGACTGATGGGTGTCGCTTCTAAGGGTGATTATTTAGCACAAAAACGTTGGGGTTGACGAAAAACAGACTATTGAGTCAGTAGGAAACATGAAATTTTTGGCGCAGAACATACGTCTCGATTGGGTAGTACTCGAATCTAACTGACATCTCTCTTCAGCAAGCCTTCTACTACAAGTACGGATGCACAACACTAAAGCAAGGCATCAGCCAAGGTCAAATTCATAATGAAGCATCGAATTCCGATGTTGTATTGACTTCAGTGAGGAATCGATCCATCTTGAACCGGTGCTGAGTGTATTTATACCTGTGAACTTAGGTTTCCTTTGATTTGTTTCGATTGCTTCTGATGCTACAGTTAGCAGTAACACCTCTCGAATACGCCACTATTCTACTGGACTGATTTATCCATCGAAACAATCCCCAAGATGAGCGTACTCACAAGTACGCCATCATTTCCAACTTGGATTTGAAAATCTTTGAATTTTAAAAACGTTGTGAAAAAAGTTTTTCAGACAGTGACATTTCAGGAATGGCAGAATACCAGTAGGATAAAACAGATACAACCAGACTTCTTGGTAGCCCAGGATTTAGCATCGCGAGCTTTCATTCCGAAGATTTAGGTTAAAATCCTTGCAACGACACCTAGAAAGTAGTACGGTGTTTGTTTTGGACATGTGGTGGAAACAAAGTAGGATGGCATCAGCTATTCCACTGTCCGCTACTCCTCCACAGCTGAAAATTCTTCGCAAATGCGGTGGGAAACAAAGCCTGTAAGAACTAGCACCGTTCGGTTTGTCGGTAAAGAACACGAGGCCGTGTAACGGTCCACTGGGAGCTCTCTCCTGAGTTCACCACATCAAGTGGTGTTCGACAGGGCTACCCTCTTCCACCTTTCCTCTTCGAATTCGTCAATGATACGATCATGGAAGACTCACTACTAGCCTCTAATACCTGTGGGGTCGAAGTGTTCCCTGGGGCTCCGCTCGCAGACATCGAGTATGCAGACGACATAGCTCTTCTAGGATCTGACCCCCTTGTAATGCAAACAATATTAAATAATCTAAATAATTCTGCCTCGCGGTTCGGCATGCGCTTCACACCTGTAAAGTGTAAAGTGCTACTGCAAGACTGGGTGGACTCGAACCCTAGCCTCGTGCTTGCGGATGGACCGATTGAGGTAGTAGACAAATTTGTTTGCCTGAACAGCTGTATCAATCCCGGTGGTCTCGCGAAAGATGATATTTCCATCCGGATTGGGAAGGCCAGAGTGTCTTTCGCGAACCTACGTCACCTGTGGCGTAGGCGTGACATCAGCTTCTCTGTCAAGGGTCGGGTTTACAATGCTGCGGTGCGCTCCATATTACTATATGGATCAGAAACCTGGCCGCTGCGCGCTGAGGACGTCAAAAGACTTTCAGTGTTTGACCATCGATGTCTTCGGAGCATTGCCCGAATCTGGTGGGAACACCGGATCAGCAATGCTGAAGTACGTCTAATGGTATTCGGGAGAAATAACTCACCCTCGATAGATGAACTGATCACGCTTCGTAGGTTGCGCTGGCTTGGCCACGTGTTGCGTATGCCAGTCGACAGACTTCCTCGAAGGGCACTTTTCGCACAACCACGTGAAGGTTGGCAGAGAGCCAGAGGCGGTCAAACAATGACTTGGTAGCGAAGTATGGAAGCCATTACCAGCAAACTCAGCTGCGCTGATCACTGCCGTCTTCCTGGATGGAGACCCCGAGACGGGTCAGATCAATGGCTAGAAACATTTTCAGACATGGCGCTCGTGCGTCCAAGCTATTGCCTCCAACACATAGCTCCTTTTCCAACCCCCCACTTGACAGCCCACTGACAGTGCTGGATTTATGCACCAATTTATCAGCTCTCGCCTGTAATGCGCAGCTACCTACCCCGCTTCAAATCATCGGCAGCTACAACCACTGTACGACGAGTACGCGGTTGTTACAGCCGACAGTGATGATGATGATGATGAACAGTAGCTTGTGCACTGCTACCGGAGAGAAATGCTGTTGAAAGAAGGGAAGCAAGTTTGGAACACGATGTCATTTTTATTGGATGGTTTGGCAGAACACTGAGGGTGGAATTTTATCGGCACGTGCAAAATCTGGTACCTTTTATTTTAGCCACCTCGGCGTGGCATCACATTCATTGTGTAGACAAATTAACACAGTCGGCAGCACCAAAATCAAAGTGTTTGTTGTATTCTTCATTCCTGTGCTAATTGAAGGGAACGCTCTAGGTGGACGAACAATACATCAGCATTTTCTGACCGCGGGGGCACCACGTTAGGTTAGCCGGAGTGAAGGGCATCGTACGACAGAGCAACAATAAAGGTCTCGGTTAACTACCAAAGTTAGCCCCCATCAAAAAGAGTTAATTGAAAAGATCGAACTATTGGAAATAAGAAACTTTATAACATCAAAAAGGCTTTGAGTAGGTTGTGCGTCACACGTGGATTTCATTGACAGATAAGGGCGACATGATTTCGGTCGCAGTTTCGGGACTGACGGTGGTAGTCAATGAACAGAAGAACTTTGAACGAACTTCGTATACCTACAAGTCTTCTGTCCTGATACTTTGTACATGTGTTGCTCCAAAAAATAAAACATGTCACTTCTCACAAGAATGCTATTGTCTTTGATATCAACCAATAAGACACAAGACTGGAAAGCCAGATTTACAGTTCTTCCGGAAAGATGGCCACTTTTAGTAGTTAGTGCTAAATGAATGGTGTGGCTGCGTGCAACTAATATACTACCATGTGTCACAGACCCAGACTACCGGATTGTTGACAACTCTGTGCTTGGTCGGGTTACGTACAAGATGTATTCGAGCTTTAATCCAACTCACAAACTTCACGAAATCTAGCTTCGAATAAAGTGAGAAATCCTCCTGAAACGATTGATTTAAATATTGTTTAGTCATACAGAACGCAGTGTAAACAAACCTGAGCAAATAGTCCAACAAGCCGATGGAATTGCCACTTGGCATACAGAGGAAGCGATAGTTTCTCCGGATCAGCCGAGACAAGCTTTTCCGCTTCCATACCGTTCAGATGCGAGTAGGCTTCAACGTCTATTTCAAAAGTTCCCTCACAACTCCTTGTCATGTAAACAAGTCGATCCGTGGGTAATGAATCCAGTAAGTCTTTTAGTGCATTTAGTTGTTGAGACAGGGAGGCATTCTCATTGGCCAGACGCTTTTGACTTTCTGCGGCTCGCTGTAGTTCTGCTTGGACTTCAGATGACTGAGCGGCAATCTGTAGGGCTGCTTCGCACCGCGCCGTAGACAATGCTAGACGTCGCGAAAGTACTTGAATTTGATCCTGAAATGAGAAAGATTCATACCTTTTGGTTATAGTAGACATTGGGCTGGACGCATGACGCAGTAGCTATGACGAGGGCTTTGTTTAGCATTATGGAAGTTGTTTATATGACATTAGACTACTGACAGAGCTTTCTTTCTTAATTCCCTAACCCATGGTTTCCAGTTCACTGACACTTGGGTGGGTACCGGCTATCGAATCGTTCATTAGGGAGATGTCAGGCAACCAGTAGAGAGCTAGAGGGCCAAGGTATTCCTGAGTAGCATGTGCCTAAAGGGAAGCACAGGAGGGGTGGTTTCTGTGCGAAACCGAACGCCGGATCTCGCGGTCAGGAGCTCGAGTCCTAAACTGTTTAACGATTCCTATCTCCATATAGTCGTAAACCAAATGCAGTTTAATATAATATTTTAAGTTGTGCAACTGTAAACTGTGCCCAAGGCACAATAACCTCGAGAATATTAACCTTGAACGAGTTGCATACTTTTTTAACGGCCTCCATAATATGACGTATCCAGCCCGTTCGGAGAGAAAACTCCTATGTCAATGTACTACTGACATTCTTCGTTCCGAACACCTTAAACCAGGTATTAGGCTGCAAAAATACCTCAGCATCCGAATTAGACAAGTTTTGGTTCAGCGAAGAGCAAAAACAAAACTGGCCTTCAGCAGTTCTCCTCCTCCTGTTCTAAAATCAAATGTGGATCGGGGAATCCACACGGAAACTCATAAGTGGTGCACTATCAAATGTCGAATCTACACTCGGACGTACAAAATTAGGTAGTTAAGCTTATACTGCCGGTAGAGGCATTTGTGGTGGCGGGTGCACTAAAAGATGCAGTATCCTCACAGGGAGCTTAATCGGGATAACAAACACTGTAGAACGTGTAGCGGATTGTCTAGCGTGCCAGGCAAAGTGTTTACACTTATTTGCCTGTCAACTTCAGAATCAGTGCCAATGAAAATCCACAATACTCATTTATGCTGAATACGAATTTTGGTTGAACATACAGTCAAGACTTAAATAAAATAAGATTGTTTCTCCACAGGACACGCTATTTATGATGAGAAAATTTCTGGAGCAAGACATTTAGCCTCCAAATTTTTCTTCACCAAACTCTACTTAACAGGTGATTGTCTGTTTGTTTCACTTTTTTGCTAGCGTTTTATTGTAGGTAACGTTCGAAATTTCATGTCTCACATTATCATCATCATCGTCATTGTTAGCTGTAATAACCGCGTACTTGTCGTACAGTGGTTGTAGCTTCCACAGTTTCGTTCACCGATGATTCGGGGAGGTGGGGTAGGTAGCTGAGCTAAACGCGACCGCTGAAATGAGTGGCGTGGTTTTACACTGTCCAAATCTAGAAACCACCCATAAGTATCCAAACCAAATCGTCCAACAGGATCCCAATGTTCGAGGGGCTCTTAGAGGGGGAACCCCAAAGGGGCTGGCCTATTGATCAGCACAACTGAGTCATTTAGTGAGTAATCTATGGAAGCATACAGAGGACAAATCACATAGTCCGATATGCAAACGTGTTAACTTAATAGAGCTTGGTAATTTAGCCTCGTCCAGCGCATGCTGGTGGAGTGAGTGTACTACATTTACCTCGTATGCCAGTGTTCCGCTGGTTATAGGCCCATGGGGCCAAGCTAGTGAGTTGATGTTGCACAACTAATGACTGTGAAGCCCAAATCCAGTGTTACAAAAGTACTCACGCCATGATAAGGGTAAGGCTATTCGAACAGGAATGGCGTAGTTGCAAACAAGATAATACATGTCTTTTATCTGTGCTACTGGAGTGGGTATTCAGTGCCTATAAGTTGTTTTGTAATGATAAACAATACCCTAAACAGTCAGGAAAAGGTTAACGTTCAACGCATGCAGAAATAATGCGTGATTAGTGCTCAAGCACTGTAAAGTTGTTGATGAAGTAGGTGAATGCAAGAGGTATTGTGATTCAACTTGACACTTTCTCAATCCAAATGGACTCCAGACACAAATCAGCTGATGACACTGGCAAGCGAGTAAGTAAATCGGACAGTGGTTCATAGGTTAATCCGCGCCTTTTTTGATTGCAAGGTGAAGACAAAGGGCTGCCAGTGTTTGAACACAACTCACAATCATTGCCACAGGTTCTGGAGCAAGACATTTAGCCCCCAAAGTTTTCTTCATCGAATTTTATTTAACAAGTGATTGTCGGTTCGTTTCGCAAGTTTCGTGCAGCAAACTCAGTGAACTGTTGGATGTAGTCTCAATAGGCCAAGGATTCTTAGGGCCACAAGAAGACGTAACACCTCTTGTTGCCTTCTATCAGTGTGTCAAACCTAATATTTCTGGGTCCACTGAGCGTATCAGCTAAGGCCCATCTTCAAGCAGCTTGGGCGACCGACTTTATTATGAAATGTGAGCAAAAAATGCCTCCAGATTGGTACAACAAATGTTCCACTTATAGCACCCATGGTTTAGCAAGAGTACTCTTTTTCGAGTTGTGTCGTTTCACTCGATGAGGTCAAAGAGATTGGATACACATCATCTGTGCCAAAGTGATCGGTCGAGTGCTTAGAAAGGTTGAAACTCGCCTGTAGATTCCAATTTAATTATCCAAGACGGATCAGATCCTATATCTAATATGAACCCCTTAAGTAAACTGAACGGAACTCTGCTTTTCACAAGAAAGAAATTGAAATTGGTCAGGAGTAACTAAATCTATTTTGTAGTCATCAGTTTGTAGTTCCAAGATCACTTCTAAAATTCACCTCAGATCCTCGGCGAAGATGGCGAAATATGATGCACAACCTACCTGATGAACATACCTATTCAGACTCTTGACAAATGAGACGCGAAACTAGCTGAAATCACCGCTTTCGGTGGAAATATTCGACATATTTCAGTGAAGAGTAATTCGTCTAGAAATGTTAAAGGGAAGTAAGACAATTTGAAGACAGCACAAGAATGACTTGAATACCAACTGAAGCAGTATGGAAATAGGAGAAAAGTAAAGTTAACACGGACATACATAGCATACAAAACTATGCCAGATAATATCAGGAAATTTGACCACTACGGTTTCAAAGTCGTCACGTAACAGCTAATAAGTGTCAACCAATGAACGTTAAAAACCGTGAACTCAAGGGGTTCCTGATCGATCCTGTCTCATCCACCTGAGGATTTCCACTCCAGACAAAAAGCGTGGAGGACTTGCTGGGTTCTGCATCAAAAATAGGTAAATTTTCATCGCAGTTTCAGTATCTTAAACATACCACGCTGTTAAATACTGTTGAATGTTTACTTGTGGATTTTGTAGGGCCTAACTACAGGTGGTTATTAGAGTAGTTTGTACCAACATTAGGGACGAAGGTGTTTATTCACATATGTTTGAAATCGTTCGTGACAGTATCGTCAGTATGAGCACAACCAATGAGTGTGTGCTTACCTTGAGATCAGCCTCCAGCGTTTGGGAGAGTAGTTTGTCGCTCTCAAGCAACGTGATTTTGCTCACTAGCTGAGAGCGCAAAACTCTGATTTCATTCTTCAGTTTTCCGCTGGATACCGATTCAGATGAGGAATCTTCATAACTGTATGTGTCGTTTTTATTCGGAAAATTGTCGGTGCCTTCGAACGGTTGTTCAGGAACAGTTCGAGAGGAACAGGGATTAGGTGCATATTCATCATTCATTGCGTGACCTGGAAGGTTATATAATTCCCGTAAAGGTATGGGTAAATATGGGCTACATCCTAAAATCAAACAATACTGACGGAATCTCGGGGACTGTGACTACCTGATGAGCCCCAAGAAGAACAAAACCGGTAGTGTGCTTTCGAAGAGTTTTCAGCAAGCTTGTGAGTAGTTTTCTATGAGAGAACATAAACTAATTGATACACAGGTGTCTAAATAGCTCACACATCTATGAGAAAATTAGACAATGGTTCTTCTTCCCCAAGACATTACAATATCGTGGGCTAGGTTGACGATCAATTAATTGATTAACATCAGGCTTCCTTATAGTTCCAAATAGACTTTTTATATTTTTGTAGGCAGTTCGACAAACTTTGTTTCATCCGCATGAATTATTCTGATATGGCTAAACGTGACCTACAGCACTCCTCCGCCTGTCATTTCTACCAATCCAACTGCCAATATCGGCGAACAGAAAAAAATTGTCCAGCTGTGGCACCCTTTCGGTGCCTAGCTGTCATTCCACACGAAGGAGGCACGAGGGCTGGGGTACTACCAGGTTGCCCAAGCCTAGAACAGGGGAAGTTGAGTGGCAGAGTTCGGGTTCGAACCACGAACCTTCCGGTCGGCGAACTGAGCAATAACCAAAGGCATTGAGCGTCCTTAGCCTCTTCATGTACTTCCATCTGCTGCAGCCATGCTGATAGTCGACCGAGTCATTGGGGCTGTTTAACTCCTAAAATTCAAAAATGAAGATGACTCTTGTCCGTCAGATTCAACCATTCTGGAGCTCGTTTTCCTGTGAGCAGTTTTTTAGATCCAGTAGTTGTTTTAACAACATTTAAGACACGGTCCTGCTAGAACCCAGACGATAAATGACCGTTACACATGGCGACCTTCAAACCTCGGTGCGAGTCGAGTTCAAGCCTCTTGAGGACCTGGTCAATGCGATGACCCTGAAAACTCCGATCTTTTGGCAAGTGTGATCCGCTGGGCTTTCTGTTAGTTGTTCTGGAGTAGCCGGTGATACAGAAGATGATTTTTGTACATTATGGTGTATATCAGTTGGAACTTGAATGTTTCTGGATGGGCTATGCGATGCCTAGCTGCCATTCTACCCAAAAGAATCACGACGGCTAGGATACTGCCAGGTTGTCTAAGCCTAAACAGTGAAAGGGGAAATATCCCCTTCTAGAAAACACGGGTACATGCACTTAGGGGTAGTCAGAGCAATGATGACGTCATGAAAACACCGTATTCAGTCTACCGGTCATGAGTGCATGTGTAAAGTAAGTTTATCATCGTTGGCTTGTTCGCTGAGCCAACGACCATCTACCCTACCTGAGCTACCAACATTTTTCTCCATAGTAAGTTTATCATTTACACATATGTGATTCGGAATGCCACAACTGCATAGAAGACAAAAATTTCGGCGTATTTCAGATTCAAACTTAGGTTATATAGAGAAAGAGGTTATGGTGGTAATTTATGTGAGCTGATTCTACGCTATTTTTGGGCTAGACGCAGTCCAGCGTTTTAGCCCTAAGGACGGATGCACCGTTAAAATTTCTCGTTAAGTTCAAGTCATAGGTCACCTTTCATCTGCGATAAGAATAAAGTCAGAAAGCTCACTTTTATTGCTGACGCCAGAAATTCAATCCAGTTTCGGGTTGACCGGGTTATTTACCAGTATGGATGTGGGAGTATGTATACTTGCGGTGCCTCTGACTTGAGTCTTTTAATTGCATGTTGACTCTAACTACCAATTCATATTGATACTACCCGGTTAAACATTACCTCATTTGAAGGATCTCAGAAACCAAAACCATATTTTCCCATAATTTTCTGTAGGCAAGAACGTGAAGGTTCATGTCACTGCAGTTCTGTTCACAAGTGAGGAATACATTAAGTAGCATTCTTGTTGAGATTTACTACACTGTTACCTTGATAGTTACCTTACTCACTGAAAGGTACTCGAGGATATGTAGCAGTATCAGCGTTTAGAAAACAGTGGCGTAGCCAGTGACCAAATCCATTTTAAGGCTAATGACATGGGACTGAATGGGATGCTCGCTTGTCCGTATGGTCGTGTGTTTCAATATGTGGTCCTAACATTACAATCAGGTCTCTTGTAGCACCGACCCTATACATAGAAGTCCCTTAAATTCAGTACATTCAGCTGACTTTCCTAGTATTAGTCATGCTCTGTTACGTCTCAGCCGGATGTAGGGACCGCTTGAAACAACAGCCAATTTATAAACCAAGTTTATATCTTTAAGCTTTTGCACCGCTTCCATTTTGTACGATCCGCCAACCCCCAAAGCATTTACCCACCGGGCGTAGCTGAGTTTGAGATGTTCGAACGGTCATTCGCACAGGTGACTAAGAGCATAACTGGAACCTGAGGGACACCACTTGACTCTTCTGTTGAAGTGGCGGAATTTTTCCCTCACGCTCCCACCACACTGATCGTATCCTATGTTTAGAGCTATTTTCTCCACGACACTTGGGAAGTGCTGACCAAACAGGCGTTGTCGACCTTAGCAGACCGTGGATGCTATTCGCGGCCTCCTGTTATATTCTCAAAAGCTGACAAATTTGAGTTAATTTGCCAGCCATCTGCATTTTTGGCTAATATTTGTGACACATCTTGCGGGTGACATGTTGGAATAAGCGCGGAGGCACTGGATGTCTCCTCTGGTAGCAACTTTGAGATGAAAATCTTGACTCATTTGCGTTGCTTGTATTCTTGCATGAAAAGTTCGGGAGTGTGAAATCTTTGCTCCTTGTGGAAGCATTGCCTCCGCACTTCTTCAAGAACATGTTCATTGTTTGTGCTCGGAATATAAGCTGGCCTCTTGTACTCGATTACCTACCGAATCGAAGTAGCTTTCAACCCTCTGAAAGGCTTTCGGCTCCATGTTCGGAGGACTCACCCGAAAATGGTGGCTCTCATCTCGTGACATCGCGGTGTCAGCGTGCATTTTGAGACATTTGCATGGGTATTTCATGGCCGCATGCCGACTGCCTCCATCCTGCCCATTGAACTAGTCACGATGATCCCTGGTTAAATTACAAAAGTCGGATTGTCAAATAATTTTAACTGGTGGCAGTTAGTCATGGATTTATATGGTACCAACATTGCTTCAACGTCACTAAGGTAGTCCCGTGCATTCCACAGGTTACTGTGCTGGGACAAAGAGTTCGAGCTTTCCCCCTCCGCCTGTTTTGTACAGCTGGTACAGTATTCTCTCCTAAAATAGTGCCATTGACTGGCACTGCTACTGGCCTACAACAGCACCTGATGTAATTCACAGGATCACGACCCCCAGTCAATAACCCGTCAGTATCCCAAGCACTATGCGGAGAATGTCTCTATAACTATAACCTTTTGGGTACTCAGTTTTGTCCGGAGATCAACTAGTTGATCTAGCATTTGTTCAAACAGCTTCCAAAGCTGAACAAACCAGCATCCATCCGAAAACCTTTTCAAGAGCTTTGTTCGATCATTATGATTCATAAAATCCGTGACGAGGTCTGATAAAAGCCTTCATCAGCCCTACAAATCGATTTGTAGAACCATGATCGTAGGAAGGCTTGTGAATCTTACCAAGGTTTTCATGCCATAGGAGCACCGGACCTCCGAAGGAACTTGTGCATCATAAACTCTGCAAGCGGAGGCTCAGTGTGTGAGGCAAAAAGTTTATTCGACTACGGCAACCAATAGCAACCGATGTCCGCTGTACGATGCTCCGTTAAACTGCCGCCACAAAACAAGGACCGTTCCAAGGTCAGTAGACGGTTGCGGGATTCGTAGGGGGCAAGTGAAGCGGTAGCACCAGGATTATTTTCACTGGCGGAAAGGAAGTCCAGTCCATGGTGGTGGTATACTCTTTGCAGTGTCTTACCTTTGGCATCCCGGGTGTGATTAGCGGATACCCAAAAATTTGCAATCATACTTGTGAAAACAGCTGCCAAAATTTCGTCCTGAATCTGGTCGAGGAACTGAGGTCACATTCTCCTAACCCTTATAGACCGACCCGAATCAGAAGGTGAATAGCTACTGCGGCTATTCACTTCATGCCATTTGCTTTTTGTTTCATTTATTTAGGTGTACCCATTCAACTCCACTCGTCCTCAATTTGGCCGGGGCATTTGGGTCACCTACACGATACCTGAAGAGAGTTACCCCTTGAAAACCACTAGGCTGAACATCCAAGCTGGCTTACTGTTAAGCTATGATTTGCTACTTTTGTCATATGAAACAAGCAACCAAAGGACATAAATGTCGGATGCTTTATTGCACATCTTGGGTAACGTCACAGGTCAACAGAGGCACAATCCATTTGAAGACATCATTAGCGATATGACCAAGCACGCTAGCGCCGAGTAGATTTTGGCAATTGTGATTTCATCCGCAGCTAGTGAGGCATATGAACCCCTAGATCTGTCATATCTGTCGGCCCACTGGTTGTGCATTACTTCCCACTAAGTGTGCCACCATTGTCCACCTCCTGCAAGTAATGACTGATTGACATGAGCACCACCTAGCGTAACCGTTAAGTCAGCGCAAAATCCATCGACTTATTCGCCGCTGAAGTGTGCGCGTGAGATTTAGTCTAAAAATGCCCTCATTTCTTCCAAATTGTTAGATTCAGTTGGACACGATGCTCCAAGTAATATGTTACTGTTGCCGGTGCCAATCAAAAACTCCTCATATATCTACAATGCATATGGGGACCTCTGAGTACTGCTCCGGAACATCGAAATCTCTGCAGACCGTTACTACGTATAAAGCGCATAACTTGTGCTTAACGCCAATGAACCAGAAGCAGCGAATACTTCAAAGGTACCGACTGGTTAGCGGGGCTGTCTGTTTGCATTTTTGTTTGAGGTTACCCAATCCAATGTTCATTTGCTGCAACGGTTGAAAATCCAAAAAAGATATCTGTCATTAAAATCAGTGTATCTGAACAAATTTACCTGGAAAGTTTGGCCTTTCTGGGACAGGACTCGCAGTTCTGTATGAGGCGGAAATTCGTTTATAACACAAAACTGTCGTGCATTATTATAGACAGTACGACACGGATGATCATTGGGTTGTGAAGCGAACGAGCCCCTTTTCATGAGTGCTCTTTTATGAAGCATTCCTATATCCAAAGCACTGTCAAGCGTATATTTGTTACGTTGGATAGTTCGAGAACTTCAGGTTGCTATTGCCAACGCAAACGTAAACTGCGTGGTTAGTGAATTGTTAAAGTAGGTGAGTGTTGCATACGTTGCCCGATAACTCGCTCGACAGACTGATGCGTGTCGCCGTCAGTTTCGCCCGTATGAATGAGCATACTACACCCCTTAGATTGCTGCAAAAGACAGTAAATACGTTATAATGTTCAAAATTATGCCTTTCTTCCAGGCATAGAGCGCATCCACTTAGGTCAAGCAGTTGGCGTCTGACGTTTGCGATCCAACCGCCGAGCAGAAGCGTGGGCCTTACCGCGTTGTAATACGTATCTGTGAGCTCACCAAACTCGTCCGATATATGAGTGAAGCACACGCAGGAACAAAGCGACATCTATTTTTGTTGGAAAGGTATCCCAGTCCCCATCTTGTCCACCAGACATCACTGAATGCTAGATTGTTGATCAGCTACGGCAATTAACCGACTCCAACGAATCCGTCACACGGAAGTCAGCAAATACGGCTATCTGAAGAAGACCGTGTAAACGAGTCCTTATAAAGGGTTAAAATAGCAAAATCTTTTGGTAGAATGTAAAATAAATGAACGGAGGCAAGCCTAACCTTCAACTACGACCCGGTTTTACGAACAGTCAGGTGACAAATAAACGGGCTTGGTCCATGCGCTACATTTCCAATTGTGTAGGCTACATATTAGAGTGTGAAGTCGCTATTTTAAGACGGGGAAACGCATGCTTAACAATCTGATTATGCACCTAATCAGTGGAGTTGCTTTTTCCCAAATTATTTTATCCGAATATCCAAGGATAGACCCGCAAGTGAGTGCTGAAAATTTTTCGGTGGTCTGTTTCTACGATCACCAGCCGTGCAGATTTCCCAAAATATCACGAGAACGCCATCAACCATTCTAGGTGGAAACTTAGGTACAGGAAGCAAAAAAAGACTGCAGATACATAAAATTCCCGTAAACACTGGGCCCATCGTTACCATCTAATAACATCCATGATTTCAACTGGTTACTTTGTGCACACCTCGGGTACTACCGTTGTCCAACATAGTGCACATTCGCCTTCTATTAATAATAATCATGGTTTCTAACTTGTGGTAGCATGACCATGGTAGCCATTACCTTAATGTTACAGTCAGAATAATAGCATGACTAGCGGGGGTCGTGGGTACAGCGGGGGTGGGAAAAGGGACGGCATCATAGGCATTAGGCAACATCCGATTAAGGCGTGGTCACCAGTGAACCGGCGCGGGCAGGAAAGCACAGTTACTTTGCGTTTTTGAGGATACTGTCAAGCAAAATTGGAGCGTTAGTATTTGAAGGTGGCGGGGCAAAACAAGAGGTTTCCTTCCCGACACATGAGAAGAAAAATGTAAACAGCTGAAAATGAGTAACCAGAATATCAGATTTGGTGAAGCAGCAGAGTTGGCGCAATCCAGCCCGTCAAATCGAACTCAAACGTAAAATCACCGCTGAGGCCTCGTTTCATTGGACTGTTGGGCTCTGACCTGGGTCACAAAATGCTTAAGTTGGGATGATGAGGCGGAGGGATTAGCAAAGCCGATAAGCGGTAACAGGAATCTCAAAAACACAGAAACAGGGAATGTGTAGAGACACAGTGGTGTGGCTGTTATGGAGTCGGGCATTTTAGTTCCTTGCAAGGGTGGGGTAATGGCAACACGCGAGCCGGAACACGGACTGTATAGAAAATTACCGAATTTTGCGGGAAGCACAGACACGCAGAAATGGTTGAATTCGAAGGTAAGGTTTAGCAAATTGGAAGGAACATGTCATGGAGGCAGCTTTGGTCAGGTGTGGGGCTTGTTCATATTTGCAGTTAATGGTACGAGTGAGTGAGTGAGAGAAGGGAGGGGATAGTTGCAGGTGTGCCATCAAACTAAGCATGGCAATGCCGTGCCATCATTGGCCTGGCATACTTCGGTTTTTGGGTAGTCCCGTAGCGGACGTCACATTTAGGGTCATTCATAATTGCCGCTGTGGGAGGCGCAATAACGTATCTGTTAACGCGAAATACGCAGTCCGGAAGAGGCCGGGTTAAAGTGGTTAGCTGATGTGTGAGTGCGAGAAACATGCCGCCTTTATTCTGGCCAGAGAAAGGATGGAGACAGTGATTTCTGCGGTTGTAATGCATAGTGTCAAAAACGATGGGCAAGCCCACTCGTGTTTCCAAATGCACTGCACAACCTGAAACGCATCATCCAAACTGACACCTGGTCAAACATTCTAGATTTTTTCTCACCAACGTCCTAGTAGAATCACCATCCTTCCACTTTTTAATCGTCCGCAAGTGTGTGCCTCATTCCATCTCTCATTGATCAATTCCACTTCTGGTGTATGCCTAGCCAACTTAGTCATTGTCACCCATCCCCATCCTTCATTTCCACTCGGATTGGAATCTGTTGCTTTCTCCCCATATCTCCTAGTTTCCACCGGAATACCATCACATTTCAATCTTTTGAGTGCAGCTTAATCAGACAGAAAAATAAATTAGACAGTGCTGAAGTGATCCTGCGCATTTCTTGCCAAAATAGGCAGTGTTAGGCTCTCTGGACCAAACAATGTTACCAGATATATCCCAGAACACTCCAGTTTTATGGGACTAACTAATTAACCATCCAAGCCGCATCACGTACTTTCAACACTCCTTAGGTTAGCGCACTTTGGGTTCGAGCTTCTTAACCGGGGGGCCCTGCCCACATTCGTGGTGCCAATCTCCTTCAGTACTCTCATCAAATGAAAAATGATGACTCAATCTAGATATACGTGGGCGTTAGCTTCTTGTACATCTTCAACCTATCGCTCGTTCCCATCCAACAGTGAAGTTGATTTATGGTTCCCGTGCCATTATTCACAGCCCTCTATCATGGGACTGTAATGAAACGCTTCCAACACCAAGAATCATGGTGTGCGCATATTCACTATGTTTTTTTTTAAATTACTACCCCCAGAAAACCGGCGCTCATTTTAGTGTGTGAGCCCGTACAAGCGCGCAGCTTGATCACTCCTGCGCCAACCGGAGTTGCGGGGCGTAGGAAATCAAACCTGGTGGGTACATGGTCACTAATCAACTAGTGCAGAGGATACCAGACTAACTGACGAAACTACTAGACCGAGCACCCAATCGTGATCGAAGGTTAGCCTAAGCCAGTAGTGCGTACGTTATCACTGACCCATCACCGAGCTCCGCTACGTTCCCTAGCGAAGCGCTGACGACGTCTTAATTGAGGAAAATTTTCTAACCAAATTATCCAGATTAGCGTAAAAATCAATAGTCATCTAGGCTACCTGAACTACCGGCACTCTCGTCAACGGCATGCCGACATCATCTAGAGCTAGTTAGCCCCTGTGAGGGCATGCCCCAGAGAGTGGTGTCAATGTTTGACGGTAATGTGAGAATTAAGTTTCGTACGTATATCGGTACAACCTGACAAACTAGAAATCCAGAATTCAGCGAAGCGTAACAACCAGCACGTAGGTATTCGAATTGGCGAATATGTACAGCATATAGAATATTAAAACAAGAGAATAATGAATAGAGCAATGAATAGAGTATCAGTCATGTTCATCACATCCGCCACACCTTGAATGAGAGTGTGGATGTTTATAGTCCAGTGGTGGTCTTGATCGCAATCTTTCGGATCTTCTCGGAATAAAAACTTCAGACTCTTCACAGGTTGTGTGTTCTTCAGATACGTTTTGTTCAGATACCATAAGATCGTCTACAAATGACTCATTAGTATTTGAAACAACAGGATTGCCGTTAACAGACTGACCTCTGGTATTGAACTCAA